AGGGACTGGGAGGGACTGGGAGGGACTGGGGGGCACTGGGAGGGGATCTGGGGGGCACTGGGAGGGGACTAGGAGGAGATTTAGGGACACTGGGAGGGACTGGGAGTACTGGGAGGGGATTGGGGGGCACTGGGAGGAACTGGGAAAGGAACTGGGAGCACTGGGTGGGATTGGGAGGCGATTTAGGGACACTGGGAGAGACTGGGAGCACTGGGAGGGACTGGGAGGGGATCTGGGGACACTGGGAGCACTGTGAGGAACTGGGGAAGGAACTGGGAGCACTGGCAGGGACTGGGAGGGACTGGGAGGGGGTTTGGGGACACTGGGAGGGGATTGGGGGAAACTGGGAGGGACTGGGAAAGGAACTGGGAGCACTGGGTGGGATTGGGAGGCGATTTAGGGACACTGGGAGGAACTGGGAGCACTGGGAGGAACTGGGGAGGGGATTTGGGGACGGTGGGATGCACTGGGGAAGGAACTTGGACTGGGAGGGACTGGGACAAACTGGGAGGGAATCTGTTTTTACTGGTTTGGGGTTACTGGGATGGGCTGGGGAAGGAACTGAGAGGGACTGGGAGGAGATTTGGGGACACTGGGGGGCACTGGGAAGGAACTGGGAGGCACTGGGAGGGGGTTTGGGGACACTGGGAGGCGATTTGGGGACACTGGGGGGCACTGGGAGCACTGGGACATTGCTCCCCCCTTTCTCTTCCAGGAACACCATCACCAAATGAGGGGCACGGGGACACCTGGGGACACCTGGGGACATTGGGGACACCCTGGAGACGCCTTGGGGACACCCCTGGGGACATTCCTGGATACCTGGGGACACCCCTGGACACCCCTGGACATTGGGGACCCCCTGGAGACGCCTTGGGGACACCCCTGGACACCCCCGGGGACATTCCTGGATACCTTGGGGACACCCCTGGACATTGGGGACACCCTGGGGACCCCCTGGGGACACCTTGGGGACATTCCTGGACACCCAGTGACCCCTTTGGGACCCCCTGGGGACGCCCCTGTCCCCCCTCCCCGCCCCTGGGGACAATAAAATTCTCCGGAGTCGCTTTTGTGTCACCGCGTGTCACTGGGGGTGGGGGAGGGGACACAGCCCCGTGTCCCCAGTGCCACCAGTGGCCTTTATTGGGGGGGGTCCCCCCTGTCCCCCCTGTCCCTGTCCCCGGTGTCCTTTGTGTCCCCACCGTGTCCCTCGATGTCCCCGGTGTCCTCCTCGCTGTCCCCAGCGCCGTCCTCATTGTCCCCAGCGCTGTCCCCTGTGTCCTCCTCATTGTCCCCATCGCCGTCCTCGCTGTCCCCATCGCCGTCCTCATTGTCCCCATCGCTGTCCTCATTGTCCCCATCGCTGTCCCCATCGCTGTCCCCGCTGTCCCCAGGGGTCCCCCCCCTGTTGGTGTTCACAAAGAGCCCCTCGGGGCCGTCCCTGGGGGGTGACACCGGGAGGGGGTCAAAGTGTCCCCAAAATGTCCCCAAAGTGTCCCCAAAGTGACCCTAAAGTGTCCCCAAAGTGTCCCCAAAATGTCCCCAAAGTGTCCCCAAAGTGACCCCAAAGTGTCCCCGAAGTGTCCCCAAAGTGTCCCCAAAGTGTCCCCAAAGTGACCCCAAAGTGTCCCCAAAGTGTCCCCAAAGTGTCCCCAAAGTGACCCCAAAGTGTCCCCAAAGTGACCCCAAAGTGTCCCCAAAGTGTCCCCGAAGTGACCCCAAAGTGTCCCCAAAGTGTCCCCAAAGTGTCCCCAAAGTGACCCCAAAGTGTCCCCAAAGTGTCCCCAAAGTGTCCCCAAAGTGTCCCCAAAGTGTCCCCAAAGTGTCCCCGAAGTGTCCCCAAAGTGTCCCCAAAGTGTCCCCAAAGTGACCCCTTTAAAGTCCCCTCCCCATTAATGTCCCCGTTAATGACCCCAATTAACCCCCCATTATCACCCCCCCAATTAACCCCCCCAATTAACCCCCTATGATCACCCCAATTAAGCTCCCCTTACTTTCCTCACTAATGACCCCCAATTAACACCTCCATGACCCCCAATTAACACCCCATTATTGCCCCAATTAACAATCCCTCCCCCCCA